TATCGATCAGTATAAAATTGCAATCTCATTTGGTGTTGCCTTTTTCTTGGTGGTCATAGGAGTAAACCCTTTTTTCATGCTTCAAAGGCATATGGTTTTGTATAAAATTCCATTGCTCAGTATAGAATTTAAAACTGTCATTTTTGTCTGAACGAATAAACTATTGGTCTTCTCCAAGATTTGTTCACTAAGTTGCAATCGATAGCACATTTCTACATTTTGTTGGCACGGCCAATTGCGCCTCCACGGTTGCCTCATATGCTATCACTGACATTTCTTATTATTCATTCCTGTTTCTTAGAGAACAGTATTTATTTATGCAAAATTGCAACTCGATGTACTGAGGATTTTAGAAGTTTTTAAAGATCCTGCTAGAGAATTCTTTCCATGAAAGTTGTACGATTCATGGTTAGAATGCACTTTTTTGTCCTGATCTGTTCTGAGCATCTCATTAATATATAGTAAGATGTTGGACTACATGTAATTAGTTGAAAGTTCTTTAGGATCGTATGAGGAGTACAATACAGTCAATACTTGTAGAATAATTTCTTCCATAGTTTGGAAATGTTCTCTGGCTTTAGTTTATAGAAATATTTTGATTGATCAACAATTCCTGTTTAAGAGCTTGCTTCAAAACTAAAATGAGCTGTATGAATTCATGGGAATGTGGGATACACCATTGGACTTGTCTTCTGGTTATTTAATTGATTGGATACAATAACCCCTTTTCATGTCAAGTTGATTAACTGGTATTTTATGGTAGGGATTTTTTGTGTGACACAGTTTTGTATTTTTGTGTATAAATTAAGTCTTAAAGATTTCACAGCATCGATAGCTCATTCATTTTATGTTTTTTGGCAACATATCTTTGTGAGTGTCAAAGGTGGTCTTGATTTAGTTCTCCCTAAAGCTGTCTATTAGCCACTTAGGCTAATATATTTCATGTACTTCTACATAATTCCCATCTCTGTTTGGCAACAGACATAGCTTTTGATCTGCTGACTTTCATTCACTTTCTTTTCAGGTTGCTTTGCTTTTGATCATTTGAATGTTCTCATCGAGCCTGCTGTTCATGATATATTTGCTAGGATTCCTGGTTATGGTTTTGTGCACACCTTCTATATTCAAGATGCAAGGTTTTGTGCTAGGATTCCTCAGCACTTGGAGTGGTAACTGTCATCCATGGTAACATTACACTTGGAGTTTATATAACCCTTAAAATGCATATATGAGGTGAGATCTTTTGCAATGGAAAAGCAATGCCAGGAAAAGTATTTGATGTCCTAAATGACGTACTTGTTGATCAGGGTTCTGATCCATACCTGCCCAAAATTGAATGCTACGAGCATAACCATCTAATCACAAAGGTAAGATTCAGAGGGTATTAAAAAAGTACATCTCTTGTAGCATAAATCCACCTTTTCTGTTTGGATATTTAGTGGATGGAATCATGAAGGTAGGCCCATTTCTCAATTCTTTTAAGCTTGACAGAGTTTAGGCGACAGCTGCACTGAAATAGAGAAGCCATAACTATGTTTTTTGCTACTGTTCATATGATAAAAAACATATTGCATTATGTTCATATTTCTCTAAGCTGAATTGTCCTTCACAATTTCATAACTCATTGTGTCACTTGATTGCCTGAAGCAAGTGTTGGTTGGAACTAATGATTAAATACTAATGTAGACACACTTCTTGGAGCTTATTTTTGTTATTTTATTCCTGTATTTGTTTATAAGTTCAGGATTTTTAATATTATTTTAGATATGTACTAAAAACTTCTATTTTTTTAATATGATGAGAATATTTCTAGGTTGAAGGAGATGGGGGTGATAGTAGCTATACCGACTGGCAGTACAGCATACTCTGGTGCAGCTGGAGGCTCAATGGTAGGCTAATTCTTACAAGTTGTAGAAATCCTCAGAAGCACTAAATTACCCCATGTTAAGTGATAAATGACCATGAAAAAAAGCATTTTCCCGTGTTATTAAATAAGATCTGTTTCCTCTATTGCTTTCCGCTCCATGTTATGTATAGATATTTCTCATTGATGATGCACATGCTTAATATTTTCAGGGAAGATTTTTACATGAAAATACGACATTATTTTATATAAATATGACTTCTCTCTAATAATGCATCCTGTACATGTTCAAAGAGGAACATATGAAAAGGCTAGTTGTGCCGCTTTCCACTCTATACCAGTGAAATAGTTCCTGGAACCATCTTGCTAAACTTCAAAGAAGCATGCCCAGCATTTACTTTAAGAATAATTGTAACAGCCAATCTCCAAGGTCAATGAGCTAAATATCATTTTCTTTCTTCTTAACTATTTCATCGGAAATATTTAATATTGAACATTGTTACTGCATTGAAAATACTTATCATTTTTGGCGCTCTTGTATAATCCATTTTGATTTCTGAAAACTGAGCAAGGATAAATGATGGGTAGATTTGTTGCTTTTATGGTGGTCATGTACTCTTGTTTGTTGTTTCATTCAAATACATTGTGTTCGATATGCAATCACATAATGTGTGTTTATTAGTCTTTTTATATCTGCCATGGAAATGTTTCATTTCCAAGCACGCTACCCAGTGCCAATTGAACAGGACAGTTATTCACTATGATCATTGTTGCTCTTGTTATCTAGGTCCATCCAAATGCCCCATGTTTGCTGTTTACTCCAATCTGCCCGCACTCATTGTCATTTAGACTTGTCATCCTTCCTGATTTCTGCACGACTTGAATTGAAGGTATGGAGCAATCAACATTCAACATCCGATAAAATGTTTATGCTTTCACGCAACCTTTATTATCACCCTTAATTAAGAATGTTTACTATGACTATGTAACTCAGACTCTAGTAGCAGCTTTAGCTCCTGTTTTTAACCCACAATACCACAACCTGGTTAGCTAACTGGTAAAATTTGCACACTCTTTTGTAACTGCCATTACATTTGCAACTTCCACAGATACCAGATGATGCAAGAAGTAACGTCTGGGTATCATTTGATGGCAAAAGGAGGCAGCAATTATCAAGAGTAGACTGTTGAAATATCCATGAGTCAGCACCCACTCCCAACTGTTAATAAATCTGTCCAAACTGGTGACTGGATCCTCAGCTTGATCAGGTGCCTGAACTGAAAAGAGCGACTGGACCAGAAGGCATTATAGGCTAGTTTTCCCTTGTACATACATAACACTACACATAGATACACCTTTTGACAGGTGTAATGCCAGCAATGGCTAATTAATACTCCCTCCATCTACTTTTGATAGTCATATTTCATCTTAACACATATACCAAGGATAAGTAATTTTACTTATCATCTATTTAAACATGCTACTAGTCATTCCCTGTAAACAAGCGATTCATTAATATTACATTTCTCGATGCCCATATAGTTAATCTTGTGTGGAAGAATAGAGAGTCACGCATTAAATCCGAGAAAGTCATTAAGATGATAAGTTGTTGGATTGAAATATGCCTATCAAAAATAAATTTTTCAGATTTGGAAATATGACTATAAAAAATAGATGGAGGGAGTATTCGATAGTATAGTTCCAAGCCGTCTCGTGTCCAACCCAACCAATTGCGTATTCTCTTGATTTAATTGTTGATACATTGCACTTGTGTCTACTAGAGGATTTATCAAAAGCTATTAATTTGGTGCAGACGCGAAGAAATCTGGTTGAGAATGATCGTGTTTTGCTAAACCCTGTACATAGTGCTCAACAGGAATATGAAAGGTACGCCGAAATTTTACTCAGTCTTTTTCTTTCTTAACAATAGATATTTACTGAATCCAACTGGAACTTTACTGGCATGAAGCAGGTCTAGTGTGTCAATGATTGTCGGTATACAGTATGTAGGACCAAGGTTGTCAGTATCCCGATACGTATCCTAGTATCTTACGATACTACGATCCTACCAAGCCGAAACGATACCGATCCCACCTAGTATCCTAATTTTCATAGTATCTTGATCCTACTATTCATTAGTACACGATCCTACGAAATCTTAGGTGGTATCCCGATTCTACGATCTCTACGATACTACAAAATATTATTTAAAATAACATGGTATGAAAATAATGTAAATAAATATGCTCAAATTTATATAAAATTCAGTTAAATATATCAAAACCAACGTGGTTTCTCTTAATAAATGCCTCTATTTGCATGACATATGTCATTACTACATTTTTTTTATATAGAATGGCTACATATAATTAATATAAATATTAATTAAACTTAAAAAAAGAAAATCTCATAGTATCCCGATACTACGATACGATCCTACGATATGATATTACTTTGAGCAAAACGATACTACCTAGTATCCCGATCCTGACAACCTTGTGTAGGACTGGTGTCAATGTTTGTTTCTATGCCCTTCCACCCTCTTTTGGCTTGTTCCTTAGAATCACAGTATTTCAATTTGGGTATTTTTTATCAGTACATATGTTCTCTTGGAAGGGGGGTTTTGTTTAATAAGAATTCTAACATGCGTGTCAAATACATTTTGTTCACTGTAATGCTTGTGTCAGCTGTAACATTTACCAATTGAGCAGTGTACTGTTGGGATTCATGAACTGAAGCCATACTCTTATTTTGAATTAGTAGCAAGTCCACAAGATGTTATTTAGTATGCTGATGAGCAGGGAAAAATAATTATTTGCAGCTGATGTCTATCTAAAACAGGAATTGCAATTTGGGATGCCCTTATTTATCAAAAATAATCCTGTTTTTTTTTTTGTGTGTGTTGGTCTTGAATATTTTCTTATATTTGGTGGAATGAATCTATGTTCCAGCTTACTACGAGTACGTTTTAAGAATGGCTACTGATGTTTCCTTTATATAGGGTGGCCAGCTGCTATCTTAATGGTGAACAAGAAAAGATGGTATCAGAACGGTGGTTGCCAGAACTGAGAATGCAATTCAAGAGGCTCAGGTGTTTTGAGGATTGCCGACGTGTTTAGGGGTTTGGTAAGCATACTAGATATAATAATGTTTCTTATTAGAACGCACGTGTAACTACAAGGAAGCAGTATGTTCCATGTTTTATTACAAACAAAGGGAACTAAGTAAATGCGGTAAAACATTTTTTTCTTAGAAAATACAAAATACAAACGCTAGAACAGTAGAGAGTACTGCTGCTAGGGGAGGTGAAATGTAACTTTATTGGCAAACCAACATGCCAAGAGCTGGCATAACTTAAAATCATGCTCCTATATGTTGCCTGCAAGCAGTACTCGGCGGCGATACCCTGTGAGAGCCATTATAGGGAAGATGTTCCTGTACTGGGAATAACTGATCATGGCAGTTTGGAGAAAGACTCCAACAATTTCCTGTTGTTGACAGTCATAAATAAAAATTTAATTAACTGTTTGCATATAGTAATAAAAGTTTATGTATATTTACAATAAAACATGTTCTCTCATTTCAACTCAACGATTGATCTATTGTATCTGACCATATTATACAATGCAAAAAATGTGCACAGATATATATACAAAATAGGTTCAGGTGTATTATGTTTAAACATGCTGAGATCAATAACGATTTTGAGACTAGTGTGAATCTGCTATCTTTTATTTTTTATAGTAGTCATGGTATAGTTGGCAAACATAATAACATCATTGCTACTACAAGATTATTTTGTTTACTCCTTAAAATTGCGGTGCATGGGGATATATAACTGCTGGTTTCATCTACAAACTGACATCAATAACTTGTACTCCCTCCGTCCCATAATATAAGGGATTTTAACTTTTTGCTTGTACTGTTTGACCACTCGTCTTATTCAAAAAATTTGTGCAAATATAAAAAAATGAAAAGTTGTGCTTAAAGTACTTTGGATAATAAAGTAAGTCACAAATAAAATAAATAATAATTCTAATTTTTTTTTAATAAGACGAATGGTCAAACAGTGCAAGCAAAAAGTCAAAATCTCTTATATTATGGAACGGAGGGAGTGCTATTTTATCACCACTTTGAACCACCAGTTTCAGTCTTGACCTAGCGGTGATGTGTGAGTAGTACAATGACACAGAGATCCGGGAGCGAAATTTATAATTTTAAAAATGAAGTCAGACAAAGACAACTTGTGTATTAAAATTATAGATTTTGAGGACATCTAAAATTTGTAGCTCACAAGTTTTCATCTAAATTTAAATTTTTGATTTTGTTAATGACTTCAGATAGAGATATGTTCTATAAAAAGTTTTAGAACTCGATTAGGCCTAAAAATTTGTAGTTGACAACCTTTTTCAGTTAAAATGGTTTAGGTGATGAAATAATTTATAAGTTTAGGTGCTGAAATATTTTATTACTATTTTTGATATTCTAAAATTCAAAATTTTGAATTTTTTAAATGAGCTCAGAAGGATATTGTAGTGCTTTACGAGATATGAACCTTAATTGTTTAGAACTTTTCAGTTGGGTTCATTTTTTATATCCAAATATTTAATATAGCGAGATTAAGAGAATTAGTTACTATAAAAATGTCCCTTCACTAATCACAAGTGACTGTATGGCATAGTATGCTCTGGTCGCACGAGTGTTTGAATCCCCGAGGATACATCATGTGCGAAATCGTCTGGTAGTGATTAGGACATCACCATGGTGGATACACACGAGCCATTCTCGCACCAAGTTACAATTTGTCACAAACTCAGTCTTTAGCTAGCGTTCGGTTCGGAACTAGCTGACCACCCTACATGGAAATGATAATATCTCCTTCATACGACATTGAAGCGAGTTAGGCATACTTTGATGCGTTGGTAATAAGCTAATAATGTTGAATGATTTCTTTCGGTTCTTCTATCCCTTCTTTCTATAAAGTTAATGCTAAAAGCTCAGACCTCATATTTTCACGTCATCATCAATTATGAACCGTTGAATGAATGCATTATATTGGTTCTCAACCATTGGATGGACCGCAGCATAGAGCCCAACCTGTCAGGCACCGGGTGAGTCTCTTTATCTCCTCAGTGCCAAATATAGCCCACATAAACATATTGGCCCATCTCTACACACATCTACATGTATCCGGCCCATCAATCCGTATAAAAGAGCTTTATGACTGAACGCCCATTCAGTTAACATTACAATTTGTTAACTTACGATCAGACCATTTTGCTTCTTTGTAGCTTATGCTTTAAATGTGCTACCTAAATTATCTACAAAATTTGAATAGGGTTGCTAAAAAGAATTTCTCCAAGAAAGCCATTTGTTTCTTCCGTTTCTTCTTGAGATTGTACCTCCTATCTAACAAATTGATGTTAACCAAGTCCGACAGCAACGCGCGGGGCATTCTCTAGTTATCTCTAGACTAAGAAGCCTTGTGGATCATTCCGTGTAGTCACGACAAGGTGCTACGTACGCCACCGGCCAGTTTTGGGCTGTATCGGGGCATCGGGCCTCATATCGTGTCGGGCAATAATCCCCCCAACCCTAGGTCATCCTATAGTGCATAAAGCTCAATAGCCGTCTCTTAGTTTCATGTGTTTTATCTAGACATATCGTTCATTATAACTGTGATGACATGTCCATTTGTTGTTATCCAAAGCCCCTTGTTCTTGTTCTTCTCGACAATGGCGATTAGTCCTTTCATGTTAAGAGCTCAAACTTCATACTCGGATTCGCTTCAGAGCAAGGCTAATAATACAGCCGACCTGTTGGCTATAAGGTTCTTTGTAGCTTTCTCTCAGCCTATCCATATAATAGTTAACTCTTTATAATTAATACAGGGTCCACTTGTCTCTCTCATAGATTTTTTTGGTTCTTGTGTCCAAGCCGGCTGTAAGTTTACAGCCCGCTTTTCCTTTCTCTCCACTCTTCTCTCCTCCATCTCAGCATTTAGCCGGCTTATAGCCTACTATTATACTTGCTCTCATATGCATCTGCAATTTCAGATCACGTTCTTTCACTTTCTTGTTTGTGTCCTTTGATTCGCTTGCAATGGAAAGCATTAATTCCTGGCAAGATCAATGGAGTTGGGTTCTTCAACGGTTCGAGTTAAAAGCCTGGATATCATTACGCCAAGTTATCCACCAAAATCGAATCTGTCATACCTACCGGAAGATTGATCCAGTGCTACATTAGGTAGTCTCTTGGGAGAAATTAAAGTGTATACCACCATTAATTATGTACTCCCTCCGTATTTTAATATATGACGCCGTTGACTTTTTCATCAACGTATGACCATCCGTTTTATTCAAAAATTTTATAGAAATATGAAATTATTTATGTCATTCTTAAAGAATATTTGATGATGAATCAGGTCACAATAAAATAAATAATAATTTCATAAATATTTTAAATAAGACGAATAGTCAAACGTTGGACGAAAAGTCAACGACGTCATACATTAAAATATGAAGGGAGAAGTATTTTTTACACTGTTCTTTTTCATTCTTAAGGGCTATCGTCGTTGTGGGTTCGAGCAGCTATCACTGTCACTATTCATCTAGTGGTTGCCAAAACCAGTGGTGCAGTTTTGGGGGGGGGGGGGGGGGGGGGGTGGTGGTGGTGGTTACGAATCAGCGATCAAAAGCTTTCTGTAGTAGTGCATGAACCTTATTTACCATTATAGTTTATAATTAAATTAACACTGCTGTTGTAATTAGCAGTCGATCAGCTGTTACTTACTTGCTGTGGAAATTCTCCATCCTCTAATTGCAAGTTGAGCAAAGCCTTGGCTGCTCGATGCAGAGGCACTGGATCTCTTTCAGCCTATAACAGCACCTTGAATTATTGTCCCAAAATCCACAGGCCAAAAGTTATACATAAAAAAAAAAAACATACCTGCCCTGCATCAATTAGTGCAATCATGGCCCACGCAGTGTGCGTACCGTGAGGTCGGTTGCCTTTAAGATTTGTGTAAACCTGATTGAATGAAAATCAGAAGATGGTTGGTCAGCTCTACGTGGTTGAAGGCTTGATTTAGGGCCTATTTATTTTAGCTTTTAGAACCATGTTGCTGAATCTCGGATTCCAAAATCCATAATCTTCAAGCTGTTTTTTTTTTCAAAATTTCTTGCGAAAATAAATAATCCAATAGCATCCGTCGTGTTGACTCCTTGTAGGAAATACGTAGAAACACTAAATCCTGACATAGCAGCATGCAACAATAGCCACCCTAAATACCAGCTTCAAACAAAACTGATAGGGATAATTTTGTTTCTTCACCTACTCTAATGTTCAATTTGATTTTAACACTATTTTTTAGGTTTTCGTTTTTGCCCCTACTTTTTTTAACCGAAAGAGACGTTTACCACCCGTGATTTAGACAGAAGTTAGTGGGACCAGATTTATAGCAGTAAATAAACATTTTTCGAATTTGTGATTTAGGTTTGTACCCATGGGAAATATCTACCCTACCTAGAGTCTCTTCTTCTCTCCTCTCACACACGGGGTCAGTCCTGAAATCAATCCGAGCGGCGCAGGCGGCTGCGATTGGGCATCGGGCAGGCGGCGGCGGTGGAGGGCATCACGTACGTCCATCTGGACGAACAACCAGTCGTCGCAGCAGCTTGATCGTCGACTGCACCAACTGGTGGGCGTCGATGTCGTTGGACTACGACCATGTTTAAGATGAGACTAAAACTTTTAAATCCATATCATATTGGATGTTTGAACATTAATTATAAATATTAAATGTGGACTATTAATAAAACTCATCCATAATTTTGGACTAATTCGCGAGACGTATCTATTGAGCCTAATTAATTTATGATTAGTATATGTGATGCTACAGTAAACATTATCTAATTATAGATTAATTAGACTTAAAAAATTTATCTAATGATTAGTCGCGGGGCATATGGCGTTGGAGGCGGCGTACCCGTACGTCCACCTGCCTCCTCGACAACAGCACGGGGCCGCTGCTCCACGCCATTAACTGAGGATCAGCAGCAACGCGACACCGGCGGGCGGGTTCGTTCAAACGCACGGCGCCGTCCATCCAAGCAACAATTAGCTAACTACCTCCGTCCCATATTACTTATATTACTTATCTTTTTATCTTTTTAGTTAGTTTTTATTTATCAATATTTGATCATTCGTCTTATTCAAAAATTTTAGAATTATTATTTATTTTGTTTGTCAATTGCTTTATTATCAAAAGTACTTTACATATGATTTATCTTTTTTATATTTGCACTAATTTTTCAAATAAAACGAATGGTCGAACGTTGTAAATAAAAAGTTAAAAACGTCACCTATTATGAGACGGAGGGAGTACATGTGTATTTTTGTTGCTGTGATGTGATTTGTAGGACAAGTCAATGACATTGAGTTGAAATTTGTGATAGTACTTGTGAGGCTGTTAAATGACTTAATACGACTGTGTAAAATGTTGTTCAGATTTTGTCAAAAGTCTGTTCAATTTCTGTTAAAATGTTGCTGAAATTTTATCAAAATTTCATCAAATTCAGATATCTGTCCAAATTGTTATGTTACTCAATGTGGGTCATTTAATTTAAAACATATTCACTTAAATAAATTTCCAAAGTCATGCATAGAATGGAGGCAAAACACAATTAGTAAATAGAGATAGGAAAGGGTATAAATATCCTTTTGCCAAGTATTTAACACCATTAACTTCTCTATCTAAAACAAGAGCAAAAAGATTGTTCGGTTCAAAAAAAGTGGGAACAAAAACGAAAACCCTAAAAAGTAAGGATAAAATCAATATTAAACATCAAAATAGGGGTATAAACGAAATTGTCCAAACTGATAAGGCTGATGCGAAAGTTACCTCGTCATGACATGACAAATAGCTCTCGCCCCAGCCACCCGAAGGAAGCTGTTTTGACAAGAGAAAGTCACATGCCTTTCTAACTGTAGCGCTATTCCCAAGTGTCCTGCCTGCAGAAACTAATCCTGTCACTGCAAACCATGTGGCATAGGTGAAACAAATCCCCCAAGAACCATACCTGTAAGAACACAGCTTAATCAGAATTGAGTAGGGATTTTTATAAAATCATCGGTCGCACATATTTGTAGTTATGTATGCATCCTGTCCTAATACATACCATGAACCATCGCTTCTCTGAGAACTCTCAATGAAATTAGCACCTTTGCTGATACAATTTTCCACCTCTTCCTTGCGGTGCCCTGGGTGAAGTTTTTTGAATAATGCTAGACACTGAATTGATGATGATGTACATTCGACATACCTGTCAATTCAGATGCATATTGTTTGGGATTGTCTTATATACGATAAAAAAGGGAAGTATATAAGAAATGAAATTCAATGGGTTATCTCATCTTACGGATATTCAATCATTACACGCCCAAATGCCTCTGTAGGATTAATATGCTGAACTCCAACAAAACATGTCAGTATTAGCCAAATTTAGTCACAGTGATGAATGTAGCTGTGCTTTTTCATCGACCATATAATTAGGGAGAAAAACAGATATGCATTTAATTTACATATATGCATATGTGCATTTAACTATGTTAACAGTTATCCTGTTTAAGTTTGCATTCTATGACACCATTTACTTGAGATTGTACAAAACAGGGGTGAATTTGAAGTTCTGATCCGTTGTACTTGATTTTCTCCATCCACCTTTTTTTTTAACTGCAACACTTTATTTCTATAAATTTACCACGGTTAGAGATCTTCTCTCTTGTCCTGTTAAGAGTGCAATTGTATTTTTTTTCCCGGACAGATTAGTACCGCTATCATATAGCATTGGTATCATTATTATTCATTAGCAAAGTCCACTTATTTAGGCGCGCTATCTTCCCCCTTTTGCTAGCAACAGAAAAAATAACTTGGTACATTGGGATTTACGTGTATATATAACATGGGAAAGGACAAAGGAGCATCCTGAAAGAAATCAACCCCTCACCTCCAGCCATGTATTAGACCTTACGAGTTCAAATGCTGAAAAGCCACCATTATCATTCTGTAAATGGTAATTAACACAAACATATCAGACACAAGGCTCTTCAAAGTTGAATATTGTACAAAATTCTGATCATTGACTACAACAACTCGTGTAGAATAGTAGACGGAAGATTGAAAAATGTTTACCATCAAAGACATCAGACAATTAACAGCATCGTATTGTGCATCAATTTCCAGTGGTTCACCAACGATTTCAGGAGATATCCTTGATAACAATAGACATGCCTGTACGTAAATTGTAACAGCATAGATACTCTTAAAAACCAAAGAAATTTATTAAGAAACAAAAACAACATGCAACAGTTGGTTAAAAAAGATGTTGACAGTACAGTTGGTTCATTATCTTGAGTTCTTGAACCATGTGAGGATCTACGAACTGATATTGATAAACATGTTGTACAGTGCATGGCCAACTGTAATATTACTTCAAGGGAGTCAAGTTTTTTAACTGACTGTACTAAATGTGTATCTGGTGTGTTACTTGATGACACAAAGATAATATAAAAATGTGGAGGGCAAAAAGTGGAGGCCCTATATGTTCCATGACCATTTGCTCCCACTCCCCCTCAGTATTTCTGCAGGCACTCGCACACCCTATTGTTGTAATTCCAACATGTGTTTCAAGTTGGGAAAATTAGCTAAACGTTTAATATTTGGAACCAACAATAAGCATAAACAAATTACTATTGCACTGGGCTAGTTATTTACTCCAATTTAACATCACTAATAATGAACTTGCACCCAAGAATTAATGATGCTGATGGGACTTTCTTGAATTTTGTTATATTTTACACCGTGTTTAGATGCAAACTTTGAACCCAAAAACATCACATCGAACTTTTCTACACACACAAACTTTCAACTTTTCCGTGACATCGTTACAATTTCAATCAAACTTCCAATTTTGACGTGGAACTAAACACACCCTTGCTTGGCTGGTTTGAACTTGAACCTATTCCATAATTAAAACTTTCTTCAACCCTTACTCAAATCCAATTTGGCCATTTTAATGTCCTGGACAACTCATTAATTATTTGAAGGAGACAACCATGATCTGAGGTTAACTAGCTAGATAGCAGCTAGTCTCTAATATTCATATTCACATTTTCTATGGCTAGAAAGTCCACCCCTTAAAAGTTACAACCAGTTTCTTACAATCAATTATTTAGTATCTAAAGAGTCTGGTCTTAATATATATATACTGATCCAGGAACCCCTCCATGTGTTGTCATGTGCTATGGTGGTCCTTTCATTGACAGTGGTGTTTCTGTTCTGATTTGCGAAATCCTTATATTATTTGATGAACGTGTGTTGCTACCGTAAGTAATGAAAGGACACGCGTAAGGTGCTGATTGATTCTGCTCTGATCCATCCGCACCCGTTGTCTTCAACTCTTCGTCAAGAGAAACAAAAGGGTGGTGAAAAGCGGCCATGGCGAGAGGTGGGAGAAGCGGGTGGTGGCGGAGGCCAGCAGCGGGGGCGGGGGTGTGGGGGAGGGATTTGAGTTAGGGATTGGGGTTTCGAATGTTCCATGGCAGGCAGGATTAGAGGGATGGTCGCCGGCCGTGGTGGTGGCCTGGCGGGTTGCGGCCGGCGGTGGCGCTGCCGACCGGATTTGGGAGGACCCCAGTGGCAGGGGTCAGCAATAGCACGGGAGGATGCTGTGACGCCGCAGGGGTGGGAGGCGGGGGGAGGCGCGGTCAGTGGCGGATCCAGAAAATCGATTCATTGGTGTCATAACGTGTCTATCGGTGTCATAGAATCCTAATTATATTTAAATTATGGTGTTATAACATATGGATAAGCAAATTTGCTATAGATTTTGCCGAAAGTCGTCAGTGTCGCCTGACACCGGTCATAATACTGTAGATCCACCCCTGGGCGCGGTGGCGATTTCGCCACTGGCCGCGGGCGGTACATGCTGCTGCTGGTGCAGACGTGTGGTCGGGGGAAGAAGATGGTGGAAAGGAAGAAAAAAAAAGAAGATAAGGAATGAGTAAGGGCAGGTGGGACCCACCGTTCGCTGGGGTGACTGTTCGTCCACTAAGGGTCCCGTCTAATTTGACTTTGGTGGGTTGTGATTATGCATCTTTTGATTTGGGCATGTTCTGGAGGTTCTTTTTCTATCCTTCCATAATGATACGATTTGCAGCTATTCTATGTATTCCAGAAAATAATCTATAGTTCACACCACATTACATCCAAACTTCCCCCAACTCCCAACTTTCCATCACATCACATCACATTCAAAACTTTCCTACACAAAACTTCCAACTTTTTTTTTCCAAACTACCAATTTTCTCTAAACTTCTCCTCAATTTCAGGAACTAAACACAACCATAGTACCTTAGTTCAACTTGATTTGGTTGGACAATGAAAAAGATAACTTTCATTCATGCATGCCCCTATATATATATATATATATATATATATATATATATATATATATATATATATATATATTCAAACATTATACTAATTTATTTGACAGCAAGTTCTTTATCCTACTGCGGTAATATATAGTTCTGCAGCAACTGTAAAAGGAGTTTTTGTAGTAGTGGTGTCCAGGAAAACTGTTATGCTTCTGAAAGAATTACTACTTTATTTTTTGTATATGCATGAGCACATAACGTTTTCGGTAGACAAAGGGAAAGAAATTAAATTAGATGAAAAAACATCTATATTGGTAATAAGGAAAATTTAATCGTTTACCTTCAGTGCTGTCGCCGTGCAATCTGAAACTTGCCAGCCATCATCAGCTGTTGTAAATGTCCATCCACCTTTGGATATATGGCGATACCAGCGGTTGAAATCTCGGGGGCAATTGTCAAGCAACTTTCATATAGAAAATAGCTTCCTTATTATACATAACCAGTAAGTAATGCTGATTGAAATTGACATTTTATGGACAAATTACTGAGGTCTAGTGGCATGATTATATATACCTGCGAATTCTTAAGGAAGGAATGCGCTCGTTTAAGAGTTGGTCCAAGCTCTTTGACAAGGTCAGTAGCCACAAGGGCCTCAACTGTCAAACCTGCGTCCCACACCTGGCTGCCATCGTAAATCTGCACTAAATAGTTAACGTTGTAACCCCACTAGGGCCTGAGAAGTCGTAACCCTGCAGTGAAATCAGGGGCGCTACTGCTCCACGCCTCCACCACACATTTATGTTATGAATAGTAGTTTTTAAATTTGAATGCTAATGGAGACTTCTGAGCAACTGCAAATGGCTGCGTAGCCCAAATTAAAACTCGTAATACTGACTACCCACCGAGGTAGCAGTGGAGTCCTTGAATGTAATTTTTCTATTTACCTTCACCTTGCCTGAATAGTAGTATATTAAAGGATGTTGGGGGAATGGCTCCGGATTAAATGGTCAGCCTCCGGAAGGCCTGCAGGGCTTCGAGGAGCCATCCTCCCCAGGGAGATAACCGAGGGTGAATGCCACTTTGGGTCCCCTGGCTGAAGCCGCCGCTCCGGAAACTACTAAGGGTCTCGGAGAATAGTAATGGCTCCGGTGGCCACTAAGGGCTCCAGAGCCTGGCAAGGCTTCGGAGGTCGCCCAAGGGATTCCGAGAGTGATCAAGGAAGCCGGAGCATCCGAGGCTCCTGGAGCCACGGAGGGCATCTCGAGCTCCGGAGCCTGGCGAGCCTTCGGAGCACGCTCAAGGGGCTCCGGAGGCGGCCAGGGACTTCGGAGCTTCGGAGGTTTCCAGAGCTAATAGTGCGGCTCGGAAGGAACCAAGGCACAATACGCCCTAACGGCCCAAATTCAAGGACCAGGCGCTAGTGGGTTGGAGTAAATGCGCATTACATGCTCTAACTAACCCTGACACTGTTGATGACGTCCAGACGGTGCACGTTATTACCCGGAGCATGCTTTTAGGCGAGCAATAGCGAGCTACCTCGGGAATCGGTACTGCCTCCTTAATGGACACCTCCCTCCTGCCACCTATGATATTACTAATAGATTAAAGGCTGGCCTACTGGCCAGCCACTCGAGATTCATCATAGGGCTAGGGGCATTGAAGACATTTCCTTTTGTATACCCTTGTATATATATATGTAAACACTGCTCACATTCAGGCACATTGAATATAGAGGCAATACACACACTTGTTGAGTTCTGTCCCAACAAAGGACATTTATTGAGAGGGTAGGAAGGACTTTTCATCTATTAAACTACATCAATCTCAACAGTTATGATATATTCAGTATTTGGTATACTAAAAATGGCTTTATTGAGCATGAACAAACAATTAGTAAACACCGTTGAAGTGTAAATGTTGATTAATTAGTTTGTTAATGCAGTAGCCATTGTATGGAATGTTGTGAAGCAAATAGCAGGAAGTGAGCCTTAGGGCACCCACAATGGTTATCTATAGTCTCTCTACAAAGAGATTCATGTCAGCATATTTTCTTACTTGAAAGAGATTAAATGAAGAGAGAGAACAAAACTATCTACTAACTTAGAGATAGTCTATAGAGAAAAACGAGGTAATGGATTAGAGAGCTATAGATACCCATGTAGACATACCATTAAAGTGGTTTACTATTAATCTAGTCTATTGTTGAGATGTACATGTTTTATAGATAGCACCTTACTTTACCATTGCGGGTGCTCTTAGAGCAAAGATAATAGTAGAGCTCACTTCCTACTGTTAGCCTATCTTAAAACCAACATATATAATAGATTAGCTATAAGGTTAGCTATAATTTTTTTCTCCTCTCTCTATCTCTCACTTATACATTTAATGTATTTATCTTGGAGCTTGTGATAAGCTAGCTCTTGCATGAGAGCCAACATCCTTGTTTTTTACTATCTCTCTTCTCCATCTAAGTTTATAGTAGGCTTAAAACTCATTATTATACTTGCTTTTAAAAACAATCAAAGAACGACCAAAAGTTACCTGCATCTTCATGCCGTCTTCAGCGATCCATAAATAATCATATACGCGTGCAATATGGCATTTGAATGCCTCTGAGCTTGGATCTTCAATCCAGCAAGCAAGGATATTTAATGCCTGTGTATAATTTACTTAGTTATTTTATTTTTCAGCTATTAGTGACAAGCTGATGGGAAACAAATGTAACCACACTAGGGCATAAACTAATTTCTGACAGAAGTTCAATAACTATGAAGTACACAAAGTAATAAATCGTAAAGGATCAGTTCATGTAAAACGGTTAACACCAAAGTTTTACATTTCGAGCAATGACGAGTATTTGCTGGCCCCTCACCCCCTAAACATAGAACATTGTACCAACCCCACCATATCACTACTACAGTTGGGCCACATAGGCCATCAACTACTACTACAGTGATACATAGGGCAGGGGATATTACAGTTGAGGGCTTCGGATTTCTTGGAGGGATGACTCTGATTTCTTAGAGTACATTTTAGATAGATCTCAGGAAAAAATATCATTGAATAAAACGTGAGGGATATGGACTCGTGGGTAGTGATTAGAATAGAGATGCTAACTTCAAATCTTTATTCCTAACTGTTTACACCCAAATTTAGCACCTATGGGCGAAATAAGGGAAAATTATCAAAGTTTAGAAAGTGTCGGGTTTCCTTCACAGGGCCGGTCAGACCACAGGTAAGTAGGCGGTCTGACCAACTAGTAGGGCAGGTTTGACCGCAGGTATATGTCCGGTCAGACCATCAGGGTCCGTGTCTGAGTCTGTTTTCTTCGGATTTCGGGTTTCTTTGCTCGGGAAGGCATGTTTTGGGTTTATTTTGATTTCTATCCCGAGTTGGATGTGGAGAAGGGCCTGTAGAGGGCAAGACCAATCCCTATTTGTTGACGAAAAAATCGAACACACCGGCCTGGGAGATCTGCTTAGCTCCAGTGCAGGTTCAAAAGATGAGAAGCGGGCGTGCTAGTCAGTTTGATCCTGTAACTGACAAGATATGTAAACAGTAGATCAAACAGCCGATCGGCTGACAAGCCGATGGAGTAGTTCCAGCCGATAGCCGATAATAGCCGATGCCGATACCAGCCGATAGCGATAGGGCTTAAGCAACCGACTATATGTCCAATGTAGATGATGATATAAAGGTATTCGGCTGATGATGATGTAATAAAATAACAATAATATAATCCAATAGAAACCAATCGGCTAATAATAACATGGTAGAATAAGCACTGATCCGAAGGTTAAATAATACATCGGCTGGAGATCCAATGCCATAAAATCCACAAGATTATATTAAACAGTGAAACCTTTGTTGCGATCAGCTAAATCCAACTTATATATACAATCCTTATAAGCCGATGCAACGTCCAGATAATTCATCGGCTGAAACCCCGATGAAACCCTTATTGGCAGTCAACAAGTAGGCTAGGGATTATGGTTCTAAGCACGACTTAGTAGATCAAACTTAACTGATGCAGCACTAAGTATAAAAAGAAAAACAATATCTAGACAATCAAGCCCTTGACTAATTTTCAGGGTGGTAGATGCCTAAGCTAATCTAATCTAGCAACACGATTTAGCCGATACCGGTAGAAACCCTAAAGCGAAAAGCAATCGATAGAGCTAAATTGATATGGTAACACTAGATTAACAGAGACATATGATAAATAAGTAGGCAAACATATCATCCAAACCGGAGCAATCCAAGAGGTCCAATGTACTGATGCAGCCTTGAACGACGCCAACGTAGATGACAGATTCACCAGGGCCCAACGGAACGTAGGACTTACCCCTTCGCCGGAGATCGAACTGAACCGATGTAGCCCCGCGTCAGGTGCCCAAATTTCGCCGGAAGATAAGTAAAAACCTCAGTAAAGAGGGTGGCGATGCATCGAGAGTAGTTGTTTTGATCGATTGATTGATCACATAGACCCCATGTGTACATATTTATACCCATGGGTTGGTACAAGTCCTTGTCGGACAAGAAAAAAACTTTCCTAAAGATAAAAGAAAAACATAAAGTCCTTATCGGACACTAAACACACTTTCCTAAAGATAAAAGGAAACTAAACTATGCCTAATTAATAGATAACTTGCTATGCCGCATCCTTCTTGAATTCGGACTCTTATGGATAAATTCCCTTTAGTTGATCCGACTCCACGGGAAATACGGTTGCTGGTGATTTGATGACTCCCATCGGCTGATTCCAGTACTCTAGAGCCGATACTTATTCTTAGCTGATGATGACTTCGGGCTTACCAAATTTCACTGTTAACACTATTTAAGGGACAAGGCTAATTCATTGTAATACTCCGAATAGACAATATACTTGAATCGCTTTTTCTTTTATCTTTAGCCATGTTTTCTACTTTACCCTAGTTTTAGTCCATCTTTATCGATTTGCGCCGTAAATCGTCCACCGCCGATGTGAGAGTGCAACACCTCTTTGTAGGTTTATCCTGAAAACCTTCCGTTTTACCCACGAGACGGGTAGTTATCCTCATATCGATCTAAATCGGCCTAGAGGCTGATTTTGATATCTAAATCGGTTCCGTTAGCCGGTTTAATCTATCAAAACCCATCTTGATTTAGCAATTGCTAGATTAGGGTGGTTGGCGACTCCATATCGCCGCAAGGCGCTTAGGTGCTGCGATCGTACTTGTCGACTTATCAAAAAAGTTGCCAACACGATTTTTTGGCGACTTCGCTGGGGAACGATCTAATCAGCCATATCACGGCTGAATTTCGTTTAATCTAATTGTCTATCGTTTCATCCAATCAAGAGTTTCGGCCCAACGGCCGAAATCTATCTGTCAATTAATTGACCGCTCACTGTGCCTGTCTAACCGACATAGCCGAGCCAGTCTAACCGGTCATATTGCACCGGTCTAACCGACGTATTCAGTCCGGTTTGACCAGGGCAGTCGCCGATCTAGTCGGCAGGAAGCAGGAGCATCAACACGCAAGGAACCAGTTAACAGCGGCACAGCAGCCGATCAGTCTGATTAATCGTGCTAGTACGTGTTATACACGGTTGCTGAGAAACAAAAAGCAGCAAGAATATTGTTTCCTTTTTATTGTAGCACACTGTTACCAAAAAGAAAATAGGAAACAGAGCAGCCGATCTTATTTCAGATCGGTTAATTTTTGTATATTTTGCTACAGTACCGAATTCACTGTTACGTCCAGGAAATCAACAAAAGCTAGTTTTGGACAAAATTGGCTAAGAACAGTAGCATATCAAGGAAATTTAGAGACCGTATATTAATTTATTCGGTCAAAATATTTTGGTTATGAGCTGTATGGCTGAAATTAATTAAGGAGTTTCTTCATCAATCATGACGAGCGGGAACGAGATCAACAAGATCTCATTGGAGGATCTTGATGTGGAAGCACGCAAGATTACGGAGGAGTGCATCAAAGCGATCACGCAGGAGGCGCTAATGAGATCGTGCTTTAGGACCCACCAAGGTGTGGTTCTCAAGCCTGAACCGTTGATCAAACCTAGTTTTGATATGGTGAGTACTGAAGAGGTATCAATTCCTATCCAACAACACATAGCAACTACAATAGATTCATCCATTGCTGCTCTAAATAGTAAATTAGATGCATCTATTGAATCTCGTTTTGCTGATTTTTTGAGAAATAAATTCGTTTCTTTTATAGCCGATTTCCAACCTAAAATAAAGCCTCTACCAGTACTAGTTAAGCCCATGTAGATCAAATTTACCCCAAAACCGATGGGGCAAATATGCAAACAACCAGCGAGGGAGGAGCTGCGCATTCAGCCGGTCCGACCGGGCTAGACGGCCGGTTAGACCGCGCGCTCGCCGCTGGTCAGACCGGCAGACCGGGTTTCCTCCCAGCGGTCAGACCGGACCCTAAACCGGTCTGACCGCACCTCTGGATGCCAGCCAGAACGGGCCCTAGACCGGTCAGATCGGCGTAATTATCCTGGTATAGGGGATTGATCCAATGACAAATAATGTGCTTTTATACCATATTCCGGTACATGATTCTCCTGTATCTACTGTTAATCCCTATGTTCCCCCACATATCCCTAATGTTTACAATGATCCTACTAGGGGATATCCTCCCGATACTAGGTATGGCTAATATAATTATATTGCGCCACAACCACAACCTTTTAGGTCACCAAACCCACCACCAAATCAGCATAGGCCTGAGAATATGGAAGAGTTAACTAGTATCATTATTAGGGATAAATTTGGGATTGAAGCGATGGATCGTGCTAGGGAGTACCAAAAGTCGTATCCTGATTATTATGACAATATCCCATACCCTCGTGGTTATAGAGTTCCTGAATTTACCAACTTTAGTGGTGAGGATAGTAGGACCACATGGGAGTATGTAGGTCAGTTTTTAACGCAACGTGGTGAGGCTAGTAGTTCTGATACTTATAAATTGTGCTTATTTTCTTTATCTTTGTCCATTACTACTTTTACATGGTTTACTTCTTTACCGGCAAATTCTATTCATACTTGGGCTCAATTAGAACAAAAATTTCATGATTATTTTTGCATTGGTAAAACTGGGCTTAGGTTGTTTGATTTAACATCGGTTAGGCACAAACACAATGAATCTGTTGCTGATTATATTGAAAGGTTTAGAGATATTAAAAGCCGATGTTTTAGTTTGAAAATAACTGACAAAGATTTGGCCGACATTGCATATGATGGATTGCTTGATTATATTAAAGAGAGATTGAATGGCCAGATATTTCTTGATGTTGATCATGTGTTGCATGAAGCTCTGGCTCAGGAAAGCCGAGTGGATAACAATAGCTTAAATGCTAGTTTAGATGATAGTGCAATATCATGTATAGCCGAACCAAGCGATAGTTCGGATTGTGTTAATAATTTGGTCAATGATGCCATAATGAGTATAGCCGAACTAAGTGTTGGTTCGGATTGTGTTGCTAGCTTAGACAATAGTGCCATTGAAAATATAGCCGAACTAAATGATGGTTCGGATTGTATCACAAGCGAAAGTGAAATAGTATTGTCACCTAAGATCGAGTCACAAATCAATCATGTGGATGTTGGAAAAGGTGATGACAATGTCTTGCGGTATAGTAG